GCTTTGTCACATACTCTTTTAATTACACTCAAATTGCAGCGCTATCGCTGATTTACATATACCTCATAATTCACGGTTAAAACACAGGCACTAGCGCTTCAGATCACTCCAAATATTGCACATAATTAAGGTCTTCAAAACACACTTTAAATCTTCACAGGTCTTCTACGAACTTCCAGTCGCTGTCACTCTTACTGCTACTTAAACACACTCAAACTCTCTCAAATACTCTGAAACACACACCAAACTGAACTCAAAGTCAAAGTTACATTGCGACTGACGGTCAGTCTTGGTATCGAGCCCCCAGATATTTATTACTGTTTGACAGTTATGGTCTTATTTCTTTATGGGACGCCCTCTCTGAAGAGAGGACGGGTCTGTCTTTCGTATATGCTGCTGACCGTTGCCAGCGCAGTCTTTCTCGGGTCCGTTGGAACGAGTTTACAGAGCGAGTGCATAGCAACGGTCACGCCGCACTCCCATTGTTGCCTTGCGTAAATTCGGTCGCGAGGTGTTTAACGGTCAGTTACCTAGCAAAGCTGTGTCCATCCATGTTACAATATGAACATTTCATCTCCAAAAATAGTGACCATTTAGATGGGCCCCCAAACATAAAACGTTGACTTTCTCGAAACGGCTTAATTTCAGTAGTTTACAGAGATAATCTCACTAAATAACACGGCAGAGGTGGTTTCTTCAGGGAAATATCGGCATACGCACTAGGGGTACAAATGCGAAAAGTCGATTCAGTTGAAACCTGCTTCACCGGTGGGACGAATTTCATTGTTGTTCGGTATTCGGTAACAAAGAATGGTGTACCGAGCAACAAACGATTTCGTTTCTAGGATAACACAGTCAAGGTCACTCGTATATAAGAAGGTTTGTTTGTGTCTTTACACCGACTTTTTCTGTTGTTCCTGAAATGGCTACTATGACGGTTGTTCATATGAAACCCACTGTCGGCGCAGGCGATCATGTGGCTGCGTGTGGAATCTACCTGCAGCCGACACAGCGCAGTGCAAGAGAACAGCCGTGGCAGAGCAAAAGGAAACAGTGACTGTCTCAGCCATCAGTGGGAATATTATTAACGGCCTCTACTTCTTCGCCCAGAACATCCCCTTGAATCCATTTACTTAGCTTGGGGTTTTCAACCACTGAGATCCATCCTATTGCCTTTGGTCTATGAATTTTTATCATTCTTCGTCAAAGCATATTTTCTTCTCCCTTGATTAATAATGATTACTACGCCCATGGGGCTAAATTAAATCACTTCAAGATACATATTATTGTGCTACTCGTTGCGCAGTTCGCTCCTTATGGGGGGGGACTATTATAGAGACTCGGAAGTTGCAGAAGGGTGGCAAGAAGCATGAGCTAATGCATTGCGCATTGTAAGCGTACGCTTTCTTGCAAGGAGGACCTTCAGCTACTTTTCCACCGCTAATATATCCCATACCAATTTGCCACACCAGTTTAGTTCTCCCGAGGCAAGAAAGGCCTGGTTAGAACAACTCAGCTAAGAATAAAAAGATCATATGGATCAATGGAGACAGAATGTCACACCATGGTGCAATAGCGAATGCGACCTGGCAAGGACAGGTTCTAGAATCGTAGAAGTTTCATATTCTGCATTATCTTTCTTTCATGTACAGGTGTATATTTTTGTTAAGGCTAATGTTTCTCATGCTTTATTTGACAGTAATGTAGGAACGCGTTAAGAGGAGGCCATGCTGATCCGCCGTCAGCAAATTTATCCCTTCTCTTCAGACTATGTTCGATTTTGAACTAAATTGGTAGGGAAAGTCTACTGCAAACGTTGGTGGGTAGATGGGGTTTCATTTTTGCCCGCACTAGTCCACTCTAAATGTAAGACTGCCTTGTCAAATGTATAAAATAAGAACATTACAGACATAATACAAAAAAAAATCATCACACTAAAATTATTACATGAAACAAAAGATGCATATCATTAATGCTCCAGTTTTCTGGTGAAAGATTTCTTCCTCGATACTGTATGGAACATTATACAAAGAAAATATATTCCTTTAAGTCTTAATTAGCTTCATCAAAAACAGAATTTATGGCTCTGTTATCTCCACGGGAGTTCTGCTCGAACAGTAGCTCTGTAGCTGCCATAAACAAAAATCAAGTCGATTTGCATCTGAGATAAATTGGTAAGGAAAGCAATGAGTGACACAAATTCGCAAAGAATCCAACTGCGAAAAATTTTATATTTTCGTTCATTTCTGTTTCTTGAATTTTTGCATCATTCTGAAAAGGCAAATCTGTGTATGATGCAATGATTTAACTATGTACTGTTATCTCTCAGCCTGGGGAAACAGCGCTAATGCATTACGACGTTTACAGTGTTGTTTTGTGATCAGCAAGAAATATTATGATTATTTATTTATTTATTTACTAAACTGTATTTTTGTCTTCTGAAGTACATTACATTATCAGACGTCAAAAGAATGTCGTGAGAATACCTAGGATGATTCGAAAGACGCGAGAAAGACTGGACTCGTTTTCAGAATTACTAATATAATAATAGTTTTCGTCTCTTTCTTCGGACTTCGCCCAATTCTGTAGTTTCATAACTCCCTACTGGCATAAGGTAGGAGCCCTTGGATATCCATCCTAGGACATGTACCTACTCACTCACTCATGGAGCTGAGCTCTTCTTGAGAAGCTGCCAATTGTGCAGCCATTCAAGAACTTACCAGCATTTATGGCACCCTAAGGTTCATTACCGTGTTCACAAGAGCTCTCCAACGGTCCCTATACTGAGCCAGATATATCAAATCCATGCCACCCCATCCTATCTCTCTGAGATCCATTTTAATATTGTAGACCCACCTACGCCTTGGTCTTCCCAGTGGTCACCTTCCTTCCGGTTATCCCATCAATACCCTATATGCATTTTTCCTCTCCCCCTTTCGCGCTACATGCCCTGTCCATCTCATCCTCCTTGACTTGATCATTCTAATTATACTTGGAGAAGCGTACAAGTTACGAAGCACCTCATTATGCAGTTTTCTCCAACTTCCTGTCACTTCATCTCTTTTCGGTCCAAATATTCTCAACACCCTGTTTTCAACCATCCTCAGTCTATGTTCCTCCCTCAATGTCAGAGACAAAGTTTCACACCCATGCAGAACCACAGGCAAAACATTTCATGCTCTAACGAAGTTTTTGGCGATCTATCATAAACAGAAACCTTGCCGTCCAGTCTGATCAAAGAAGACGACGGCGAGTAGTGTAACTGACTGCAGGGGGCAATGAATTTAACAGAAAGAGAATGGATGAAGAACACTCTAAAGCTTCCCTGGAATTACAAACGGGGAACAAAAAATGGTTCAAATACATGGAGCAGGAATAGCCTAAGATGTAGTTTAATTTGTGAGGGCTCATAGGCCTATGATCTGCGAATAACATACAGAAGTATAGTATTTATAATCCACCACAATCGTATTTCTGCCGTATCACAGATTGGCTTATTGCAGAGGCTATCGTTCTGGAAATGTCAAGGAGCAGACTGTAATGACAAGAACAATTATAACCTAAATAACAGTGTTAGCATGAGTTCAAGACCTATGAGTTTCATGCAATGAAACTGTGCAACTTATAAATGCTGTTCTTTGCCGGGCAATCCAAACAAAAGTTTTCAGGCAGAAAATTTTGAGGGCATTCTTTCATGTATCTATGACTATGAAGCACTGCAAATAGCAGAGCAGCGAAGGTTTAGCCGATCAGATGCGTCAAGGCCTCATCCACCTTAGTGGCCATACCACCTCCACATGGTGCACCCTGTTTCCATAACAGAGGTTATGACAGTCAAGTCACGATTGTATCTGCTGCAGTTGGAATGGAAGAAACGCCAATACTTAATTCCGGTAAAGCGAATCACAGCGACATAACTATTATGAGGTGTGGAAGAACTGACACCAGTTTCACGCTGTTAAGTTCTGGTTTGAACTGTGAGGTCAAGTCGAATACTTACCTATCAATTGATCGACAAAGCAATAAGAGGCACCTTCTACCTTCTGCCAAAAACCTACCATGACCCTTTCTCAACTCCAAAATATTATTCGTATTCCGTGTATTACTTGCTCTCGTTTCAATGTTTAACATTAAACACACGTACCTTCTACTTTTCCAATTAAGAATTAACTTTTACCCAGATACACGGAACAGAGTTGAGTAAAGATAAAGCTGGAAGTTGTCCCTGCGTCTAAGTCAAATTTGGATCACTCATTCTTGTGTTCATGAATTCTGAGCTTCAAATCTTTTCAATTTATGCCTGCATCAGTTTAGCGTGAATCTAAAATTACCGACGTATCTCATTCGTACATTATGAGCTTCTTTGAAGATACATGATATCATTTCGCTTTCAAAATATTACCAACAAATATTAAATGTGACGACTTTTTCTGACATTTTTCGGCGATCAAGTCAAATGAGTGGCGATCTAATTTCTGGCCATCCAGACAGGTGTCCTGATGTACATCTGGGCTGTGTACGCTGGGTGAAGGCCTCGCCCCCTTTTCTGCCATGAATACACCATGCTGCGTTTCGTTACATCATATTTTATGGTCCACAATTTCAATATGACAGTCTAAAACGGTTCAAATGAGGTGCTGTACACAATTATGTACGTTACTGAGATCGACACGCATTAAAGCAAGATTATAAAATATTTTACGTTATAAATGTCAACTTTTCATCACAAGAGCAAATTATTAACACACAGCAGATATAACACTCCCATAAGTCAAAGAAGGCAATATATGCAATGTATCACGCATCGGTTTCCGTGTTGCGTACACAATCATGTAATAAACATTTGAACCAAGGCGCCTTGCGTCATGTTTAAATATACGCAACATTACACCTAACGGCAGTGACGTAAAACAGAACAGTATTAACTAAATGGAGACATTCATACTGACTCTGCATGCTGAACACAATTATTTTTCTGCTGAGAATTACAGAAACTGTACCTGCAGATCTGGATGAGAGCTGTCCTTGTGACTTGTAGCACGTATTACTCCCGCCCTCCAGCCCCACTCGCCGATTTTTCCTAATTTCAACTTGGTAAATCTACTAACCGACAGAAAACGTTTACCCACTATTTCTTCTCGATACTTATAAGCCATTATATCCTCTAGGTACACATTTTCAATTCAAAAACATCACAAACGTCAAACTTTTCACCACCATCGACTCAAACACCACAGCACTGTTCCCTATCCGCGCATTGATACTTCCGAGAAAACACTTTCCATTGCTCCGCCAGAGACCGCCATCAATCAGACGATGAACCTTGCGTATCTCTGCGCCGCACAGAAAGTAGATCTTCACCACGTGACGAAAACATCGCTACGTCACACCTCGATTCAATATGGTTGATGTGCAGTTTGTTTAGTGTGCTTGGTTGTGCGATATATGAACTGTTTTATTGCTGTATGTGTGTGTGAGAGCGTTGAGTTCTGTAATTATGATATCTTCTATTATATCACGCTTAGTAATGTAAGTAATTTTCACGTCTGCATTTATAAAATCTTTATAAATTAAATAATAATAGAAACACGGCGGTTAAGGATCTAATTTTGGCTCCAGGTACAATGAGACAATCCATTTCTGGTTGTTGAAGTTCTTTGGATAAATTTTTAGGAATCTGGCGTATTGTGTTCGCATATTATGATATTTGTAACAATATAGGTAAACCTAGAATGCTTTCAAGGCCTTAGATTCTTCCATACATGGAAAATCAGTGACAGCTGATTCATATTGATTTTCAAGGCTGAAATCCCATTACCTCATTTTTGCCAAATATGATAGTGATCGTATGTTAATTTATGTTACCGCTTTCTTGCAACAGTTATAAATATTATTTCCTTTTGGAAATGGCCAACTTCGTGATTTTAACGCAACAACAGTTTCTTCATTATGTTCGCAATTATTTTCGAAATTTGTCCAGTAATTGCCATATTATCATTGTTGTTATGATTTTTGCCATTTCTTCGTGTATATATGTTTGTTTTGTTTATGCATTTACTTTTTTACTTACTTTTACTTGATTTATAATTGTCCTTCAGAAATAAAGAATTGAACACAATTGACTTTAAATCTTATGGACTAGAATGTTTAGTTGAGCCTAGTAACAACATGTTAAATCGTAAGTAATCTGTTTGGTTCAGGCTTTAGGTTCGTTAGGTGATTTTGATGCAGTTTGGTTATTTCTTCTTTCAGAAAATACGTGCTTATTTTAAAACAGTTCAGAGATGCACATCATAACTGTGCAGGATTAAAGAGAAAATAGCTCAAACTTGACGAAACTTCTGAACTCGTAGTTCTGAAAATTTATCCCACTGTTATCCTTTGTTGTTTGAGCTGTAGTATATAAGAAGTGTGAAAGTAATTTAAGTAAAAACATGTGAGAATATTCTGAAACTCTTAAAACTGTGTAAACGATTTATCAAGAATAGCGATTTCTGCTAATGGGAATATTTGTTTTGATAGAAACAACTTTTTCGAAGGAAGCAACAGTTATTTGTAATATCAGTATATTCAAATATACATCTGTGCATAATTTGAGTGAGACTGATCAGCTGTAGGACACATCAATTCAGTTGTTATTTTTTAAGGTTCTCCAAACCAAAGGAAACTTCATGATTTATTGTTTGTTAGTGCTCATAACTGTTTTCTTCCTCTGCACAGCTGACTTTCATAGTTGAGGAGACATGCAAGCATGTTATGTTTTTTAACTTGTTTTCTGAAGCACTCCTACTTCCTTCTGTTAAAAGAGAGGCTTATTGCAGGCTGTTGTCTTTGAAACAGATCAGTGGAAATCTAAAGGAAGAAAGTTAGGTGTTCTGAAGATTACTGTCTTTTGGAATGTGGTTTGAAAAAGTTAGCGTTTTTTCTTGTTGATAGGCAGAAATGACTGTTAAAATTATTATTTTTTTTTGTGTGTTTAATTTTTGTAGAGTACTGCATTTTACTTGAAAATTCTGTGTGCAGTAGGTAAATGTTGAATGTGGCAATGATTCGTATGGAGATTAATGGTTCCAGGTTCGAATCTCAGTGAGTCACATTGACAACCTTGAATGTGGTTTTTGCGATTCTTCTCAGTCATTTTGGATCAGTGCTTTAAAACAGGCCAAGAGCCTTTTCTTCCTGGTTTTTCTGTGTCGTTTATTACAGACATCCTTCTCTTTAATAAAGTATAACACGTGGAGTCAAGTTTGCATCATCAGAAACCAAGAAACAAATCTAGATAAACTCTGCATAAAGCTGCAATTTCTTTTTCCATTTGTAGTTAGTCCAGGGATGAACAGATTAATTGCAATTTGAGGAGACAGACATTTTTTGGGAGCATTCATAAAATAGTTAACAGAAACTCTTCAGGTGGAATACCCGAATAATTTTACTTTGATGTTTATGCTTGTCTTGAACTCTGTTGGGCATGCTTACCACATTGTGCGTTCTGTATTGAGATTCAGGAAGAACTCCATGGAGATGTTATTTGTTGTTCAGTAATTAGAGTGGAAATGTGCTGCGCCAACTGGGGAAGGGAATGGGGGGGTCATGGCGTTATTTTACTATTTTAACGTTGATGAGATCCCGTCCGTTAGGTGGGGCTCGTTGCACCGTAGCTAGCAACAGGATAGGGCCTAAATATAACCCTTGGCCGGGCGATGGCAGGGCACCGTGCCATACCGCTGCATGACGCCCGGTTGTGTAGTGTGATAACAGAATTCGTTTCCCGTGTCATTTGTCGGCCTGCTAGTGATGCACCAAACACTTCGTGTTATAGACATTAAGACAAGGGCATCAGTTTGAACGTGACACAACCGGATTCTGAACATACGAAGAATACACTCAGAGCGATTGGGAATTTTGGAAAGGAGTTTTGTTATTTCTTTTCCATACAGTCCATGTCAGTAATGTCAAGAAAACAATATATGCCAGTTCTTTTGGCGCTAGTGTTGTTGAGATCATGAAGAAGAGAACAGTGCTTGTGATTTCCACAGCTGGAGTCGAGGTTTGGTGGAAAACGTAGAGACCTGACAGAAACATCACTTCTCCTGTGTCTCACTTTTTTTCTGCGAACACACTTTTTCTGCTGCTTGCAACGTTTCTTGCCAACTATTGATTGGCTGCTACTTCGTTGCCCGTCATAAAAGCGAACTACATGAATAATATTGGTTTTGGCGGTTGCATGCGGTAGTCTTTTTCAGGAATTGCTGTCGCGTTTGTAAAAGCGGTGGCAGCTGGTGAAGTCGGAATTCAGAACATCGATGGATTTCCAGTGTCTTGATACTCTGATGTCACTCATGCGCGGCTCAGGCCTACTGCGTACATGTATACGTGCACTGTATCGATGTGTTTGTTCAGTTCTGCTGTCCCCTGCCACAGGTCATAAAATATTGTGGTATGGCTTATAATTAAATTCACATACTCGCAGTGGTCTGTTGTGAACGTGTCGCAAAGGACATTGAGATAATGAGCCCGTCAAGCTTATGTTAGTGTTACCTATTGCGTTGTTCCCTCTTTCGCCGCGTTCTTTATAGTAACTCTGATACTGGAAAATAATGTCACGTGTCCGGGGTTCCGTGGCAGATAATTGGGTTGCGGCTTAGACGAAGCTGTTTTATTGGACAAGTCGTCCACGAATAAAATTCCAATCACTCTGACAACTTCTTCCGTGTGATGCGACCTGACAACTCATCGTGTCTGATCAACTGATCTGACTGTCGCAATCTACCCTCTTAACGTAGATCTTCACGTACTGCCGAGAGAACACCTTGTCCAAGGTTTCTCTCTGTCTTCGACACACCGTTGGCTAGCGTATCCGTTGCTGTGGGAACTCAAAAATTCTGTCTTTGTTGCTAAGGCAGTTTCCTAGGTAGCGGCCTGCCAATGTATTCGTTGCCACTAAAGTGCGAGTTCTTGTTGTAGCCGTTGCGTAGCAATGGAGTCATATAATCCGGCTTTTAGGCGCCACGCCACAATAATATAACTATTTTCATTTCTTTTATGAAACTAATGGTTCGTTGTTTTGCTCTGACTAATTACATAATTCGTGATCTTGTAATAATGTCATCGAAGGTGAAAGTAGATGTTAGAATTACCATATTTTACAGCGATGGAGCTGTCGTAGTTGTGTATCTGTGACTTCTACAGTCTTCCATTTATGCCACACTGTTCAGTTTCTCTATTTGTGGATGTTATAAATTCTGGTCTGAGTGGGTCGGGAAATGTGGCCCATAAAGTTCCAAGAATTAATGACTGTATTCTGCTCAAAATGGATATTTCAACGTTACTGATAATCTTGACGCTAGTTTCACGAGCACCATTGTTCGTCTGGAGCGGCCTGGAGAGTCGACTTTGATCATTCACTCACCGCAGATGTACAGGCGTGATTAAAATGACGGCCTTACTGTTACTACAATAATGCATTCACGAGGAGCTGATGGACCTACTGAACCACGGTGACGTAATTAAAGCGGATACCGTTTATGAGAGCATTGTATAGTTCAGGCTATAAAGAAATTTAGCTTGTCAGCCGTCATTTTGGTCTCGCACTGTCAGCTGCTATGTTATGTAACGGCAGTTATGTCAGTTACTGACCGCTAAGTGACAAGATTGCAATAAACATTTCATGTAGTACAACTGCAAACCAGATAAATGGTTGATTATGTTTATCATTTTTGCTTTTTTCCATGTTTTGAATTGTACTCCTCATTGTAGAGTAGGTATTGTGAGCGAACCAGTTGTGTACTAGTGTTATTAAAGTCCTGCCACTGTCATTATCATTTGTTCACACGGGTGGAGTGTAAAAATAATGTATAAGCCAATATCCAAGTGCGCGGTGCGCGTAAAAGAGATGATGCAGCGAAATTAAGTCTACAGATGATCTATGCCTGCATGCCTTCGGGTATGTTTATAATACACTTAGGTTGTTAGGTATTTATATGTGTATAATGTAATTTTACCAGTCGTGAGAGTATTACTGGAGTGTCTTTAGATACTAACAGAAAAATAGCTGTCTTTTGTGATTACAATCAGCAAACTTTTCTGTAATTTCGGGCCAAGCTTGACATTTTATTTCGGAATATAGAGCAGTTAATGAGTGTCCGCTCATCCACGCAAGTTACGACAATGACATGCTAGGATATTTGTGAAAATTGTAATCGCAGTTTGGGCCATGAACTGTGTGTGTCCAACAGGTGGCATGAAAGCAGCATTAAAGAACACGGCCGTAAGGTTATGCTATATGACAACAGCTACAGTGTTACAGTGATGGAGCAGCTGAATGAGGACAGGGTCTTAATATCACCAAGGTTTCTATATATTCCGTGAAAATAACGAGAAACAACGTGGAAGGTGTCGCTGAAATGACTGCAGTAACCTAGGATACCAAGGGTGTTGCATTGTCTGAACGCACTCAGCTACCATGGATACTTCGGTATTACTTCGATACAGTGTCTGAACGCAAGAGGGGTGCTATACCTGTTGTGGTTAGTGGAGATCCTGGTTCGGTCCTGACTGACTTCGTTGGTGAAGAGGCACAAACCACAAGTTACATGGGCCACCAATCTTGATAATATCGTTTTACACTGTTGATGCTCATTACCAGAAGAATGATTTACATGTTGTATCCACTTTTCAGACTCGTCTTCGGAACCCTGTACCCAGCTTATGCCTCCTACAAAGCTGTTAGGACGAAAAATGTGAAGGAATACGTAAGTAGAATTTCTATATTTATTCACTTTTATGTACGTGGTACTACATCAGTAAAATCATATAGTTGCATTATCAGTAAATAAATAAACTGGTAAAATACATTTTTAAGTACAGTATATAGACCCTGGGGCTCGCAGTAGCGTAGTTGGTTGAGGCACTATGCTACAAGCCGGAAGGTATCGGGTTCGAATCCCGATGAGGTCATTGGATTTTGGGAAGTACTGAAAAAGTCTAAATCGGCCATTGCAGTAGATCTGATAAGACGTTTCAGTTATGCGTAGTTATAGGAAGAAAGGAATGTGTGAATGACGGCGACATTTAGATAATAATGTATATGAAAGCAATCAGCAATCTTGAAGACAGAATGACATTATTTTTGGGAAGCAAGGCGGCGCAGCCTAAAGAGTGCACCGTTATCTGTTGCTCAGACACTCGTTGATCACAACGACCTTGCAGCCTAAAGAGTGCATTGTCTTCTGTCGCTCGAACAATGGTCGATCACGATGACTGCGCAGTCTAAGGAGTGCACTGTCTTCCGTCGCCCGGACACTGCTCGATCACGATACCGCTCAGTCTAAGAAGTGCAGTCTTCTGTTGTCCGGGCACTGGTCGATCACAATGAATGCTCAGTGTAAAGAGTAAACTCTCTTCTTTCGCTCGGACACTGGTCGATCACAATGACTGCTCAGTGTAAAGAGTATACTCTCTTCTTTCGCTCGGACACTGGTCGATCACAATGACTGCTCAGTGTAAAGAGTATACTCTCTTCTTTCGCTCGGACACTGGTCGATCACAATGACTGCTCAGTGTAAAGAGTATACTCTCTTCTTTCGCTCGGACACTGGTCGATCACAATGACTGCTCAGTGTAAAGAGTATACTCTCTTCTTTCGCTCGGACACTGGTCGATCACAATGACTGCTCAGTGTAAAGAGTATACTCTCTTCTTTCGCTCGGACACTGGTCGATCACAATGACTGCTCAGTGTAAAGAGTATACTCTCTTCTTTCGCTCGGACACTGGTCGATCACAATGACTGCTCAGTGTAAAGAGTATACTCTCTTCTTTCGCTCGGACACTGGTCGATCACAATGACTGCTCAGTGTAAAGAGTATACTCTCTTCTTTCGCTCGGACACTGGTCGATCACAATGACTGCTCAGTGTAAAGAGTATACTCTCTTCTTTCGCTCGGACACTGGTCGATCACAATGACTGCTCAGTGTAAAGAGTATACTCTCTTCTTTCGCTCGGACACTGGTCGATCACAATGACTGCTCAGTGTAAAGAGTGTACTCTCTTCTTTCGCTTGGATATTGGTCAATCTTATTGACCAGGGTAGTAACATAAATTAGGCCACTATCACCTCCTTCCACATCCTTTCCAATGAATTATTGTCTCTCACCACCCAGGCGATCGACGTTATATGGCCCCAATTGACAGCGTTCTCAAATAAACTACAAATATGAGTTGTTCAAATGAAACCCCTTCGCGGCGCCGCTAGGGAATATGGCTGAGCTGTATGGATGACATACCAGCAGTCAGCAACGAGCTATGCAACAGAAGTGAAAGCTTGACAATGTTTGTTTGATAATGCCCATGGTAATTATTTTAACGGCCTCTGCTCCTTCGTCCAGAACAGTTCCCTACTGGATTTAATTTGAAAAATACTTGTAAATAAATGCTGTAATTCAGTCTACTAGGCTACGGTCTGGATGACCGAAGAATCTGGGTTCGATTCCTGGCAGGGGAGATATATATTTTCACTTTTCCTTAACGTCTTGGGGCCTACCCAGCTTTCTGTACAGTGGGTACCGGGGCTAAAGCGGCAGGGGCGTGAAGCTGGTCAGCTGAACACTCACCTCCATTTAGTGTCGAGGTTAAGAATGATGGAGCTATACCCCCACTCCCCCATACATTTACATGGCATGGTGCTGAATTAATTAAGCACAGGAATAACTTCACTTATACTTAATGGATACTAAGCACTAAACGTTATAGAGCGAATTTTGTTTGTTCCATGTCGTTTAACGTTTGTTTTAGGAGACGTTCAAATATGTGTGCCAAATTTCTTGCGAAATAATTGTATGATGTTGTCACCTGACGAATTTAATGAAAATATTTACAGCAATCTCAACCATGTTTATTTAAATTTAACGAGACACAAGGAAATAATAATTCAAACCGCGTAAGCCATTTTTCCTGGTGATTAATTCTGTCAACAATAGATTTGTATCAGCATTAAATGATCATCAAGTATGCGTTAGGTAACAAGCGTACCTCTCCGCTTAGTTTTCCGCCACCATTAACACAAGTCAGAGTCTGACGACATTCGGCCCCTTTTACTGACTCTTCTACGATCGTATCTCCTGGCCCCTTACAAAGTAAAGGTGACGGCTGTAAGAAACGTATCAACGTAAGCCCTTGGAAGGTTGCAAACTGCGGGTTTGCCTTAAAGGATCCTAAAGGTTTGCTAACATGCAGGTGTAGTCTTTTGTACTGAGAGAAGAACACAATTAGAGGACAAGATGTTGGGAAGAATATTTTGACCTAAGAAATAATCTTTAACAGGACAACAGAAAAATGTAAACGACGAAATTGTCCTTGTGTTTAATTAAGCGCCACGCCATAAAAAAGTATGGCAGAGTGGAGTTATCTCATATAAACGTTCGCTTATCTCAGCACTAGATGGAAATGAGTTGTTAGCCTCACGCCCCGGCCGCTGTATCTCGGGGTAAATAGCTTTGATACCTTTGGGTAGGAGGCTGGGTTGGCCCCAGAGCCGGTCTGAACAATGGAAAAGTTGAAGGTGCGTTGCTCCTGTTGGCAAGTGCTTCACGTTTTCCTCTTCGGCTTGTGTTGTCATGGTAATTAATTCAAACGGAATGGAATGAGCCAGGTATGTGTCACGTATGGAGGAACCAGAAGTACGTAACACAGTTTTGGTCGGAAGACCTCATGGATGGAGATAGTTCGGGAAACCTAAACATAAATGGATGGATAATATTAAAAGAGAAAAAAGTAAAGTTGTCTCTGTAATTAACTAAGTAAGCACTACGCCATGAAGGCGTATAAGGGAGTGGATGTATAGACCCACATCTTCTTGACCTTGGCATTAGTTGGAGGTGAATGATCGGCTTCACGCCTCTGCTGCTTTACCCCAGGGGAAAGAACCCACGGTACTCATTGGATAGGAGATTGGGTGGTCCCCAGAGCCGGTCTGGACGACACGGGGAAGTGAACATTCTTGATCCCACCAAGGACTCGAACTCCGACCCCTCGGTCGTCCAGCCAGTAACTAATCGCTATACCGACTTCTCTATCCCAGCTCAATGCTAAGATAAATTGATTGAGAAGTTGTGAATTAGATTGAAGTTTCTCACGGTAGGGTCCAGTGGCGATGTTAAATTCTGAGTTACATGTCGGCGAATTTCATGATTAGAGGAGTAATTGCCCGCTACGCCAGAAAGACCCAGTACCCTGCAGTTAGTGGTGGAAGGAAAGTATGCGTTTGCAGGAGCTCTAACGAGATGAGTGTTGCAGAAATAGATTGCCGGGGCTTTGGTGACCACTCCTTTGTCGTGTGAAAGGGTTTGCGCGAATCTAGAAGCTGAGGACAAAGGGAACTTTATCTGCCTCATCCTGTTGTCTTGGTGAGACAGGAGTATTACGTTGCAGTGATGAGGACTGATAGCCTGAGAACAGAGCAGAATGCGTGGCTTCAAACTAGGCATGTTACCTTACGTGTGACTACTTTAGTATCGGCAGTGTGCTTTCATGCATGCGTAGCAACCACTTATGTGTTCATCGAAGTTATAGTTTCTCAAAATGTGGGTCGCGATCCCTTTGGGGGTTGCCGAGATGTCAAAGAAAGTTGTGGAAAGATAATGAAATGAACAGATCAGTGTTTTCAGAAAATTAAATTGTTTTAAATTTGCTCGAAGAATGGAAATTCTCAAAATATTTCGAAAATATGACGTTTCGAATATCCCAGGATAGGGACCATTGGAGGGCTCTTGTGAACACGGTAATAAACCTTCGGGTTCCATAAAATGCTGGAAAATTCTTGAGTAGGTGCAGAATTGGCAGCTCCTCAAGAAGGGCTCAGCTTCATGAGTAAGCAAGTAAGAAGTCCATACCGCAGGATTTGCTGGACATTTAAATCTCCTTCGTCAAACGGTCAATTCTTTTTTTTCTGTGTCTGTACAGATGGGGAAGGTCTAATAAAATTACGCGTTATTGGAAGCGTACGCCGTTTGTTTTAAAGCACATATTGGCTTGCCCTTTCTTTATACTCTATTCGAGATGGATTCCGTCCTCTGTCTTGCTAAATTTGTGTTCGTTGTAGTAGTTACGACCGAGACTCGAAACAAAGAATTACTGTGCTGGTGAGGGCCAGCAGAAATTTAACCGACTGAGCGTCTGGATATAATGGTCACACGCCCACTTCACATCCTAGAGTTATCCGGCTCTAATCTCAGCTTCAATACTGGCTGTCGTGACATGCCTTCATGGTTTTTCTCAGACTCCTCAGTACATTAAATCATCATCATCAGTAATCTGTCAGACGACAGGTCCACAGTCTCTTCCAAAACAGTTCCTCCACTTAATGCGATCTAGAGCTTTCTCCTTCAAATTACAGTATCCTCTTCTGTCCCCAAGGTCATCCAGCATCTTCTTATGTCTTCTTCCTCGTCTTCTTGTCACTTCTATCCGCCCATCTATCTTTCCTTCAATAATTTCTTTTAGAAGGCAGTTTCTGCGTAAAACATGACCAATCCAATTAGCCTTCTGTTTTCTTATTTCGTGTAGGATATTCCTCTGCTCACTGACTCTAATTAACACTTCTTCATTTCTCACATAATCAGTCCAACTGATCTTCTCCATCCTTCTCCAACACCACATTTCAAAACTTTCCAGATGTTTCTGATCTACTGCCCTAAGTGTCCATGTTTCAGCCCCATACAGAGCTATGCTCCAAATGTAGCATTTCATTAGTTTCTTCCTCAAATTTAAGTCCAATTTGCTGGTAAAAAGATTCTTGACCGATTTATTTTATGACAGCTATTTTGACTCTCATTATATAAAGTTGTAAGTGTAACTGGTCCAGTACCAACATCTTGTTTCCAGTTCATATCATTGCCTTTTATGAATTTGAGTCTGACATTATTTGTATGGAGGGGTAAGGATATGGACATAGTAGGCTGGCTATTCTGAATTCGCGGATTTCATGTTGGGAGTTTCATTATCTGCACATTTTTTTATCATCGCCATGAGAGATGATCTCGTGGGTTGCAAATGGGATTTTGGTCACTCATGCTTGAACATGCTGAATGAAATTCCCACTAATCTTTAAATGAAGGCAACACAGAGAGATCAATCAGCGCAGCATCCTGCTCTGGTCAGCTCAACCGTCCAAGACCCTTCCTAGTTAGACAGACAGACAGACAGCATTGCATTGAAGTTCCTCATTAGGTTCAGTTCAAGATGATGATGTTGCACTTGCCAAGGTTAGACTTAATATAAGTCTGTGACAGTGCACTTTAATTATACAGCCATGTGTTTCTGCCATTTTCTGGACAGATTTGTTACAATAGGCTTCATCTATAGCTGATTCTATTATTCCAAATAATATATATCCAATTCTGAAACTATCTACTCCAACCGATTACTTAGTAGATTCATTTAACGGACCTTTTACCTAGATGAAATGGCAGTATGCCTCTACTCAGGAAATCGCAAAATTTATTAAGACACTAAAGACTAAAAATTCGAGTGGATACGATGAAATCTCTAATAAAATATTAAAGCTAAGCCTTCCATTTATAATTTCCCCATTTACTCATATTTGTAATGCAATACTTAACACTGGTGTCTTCCCTGATAGATTGAAATTTGCTGTAGTCAGACCACTATTTAAAAAAGGGAAAACTCGTGATGTATCTAACTATAGGCATATATCCCTGCTAACTTCTTTTTCTAAAATAATTGAAAAACTTATGTATGCTTGACTTATTACACATATCGAAACAAATGATTTATTGGTTCAAGAACAGTATGGTTTTAGATCACTTTCTTCAACTGAGAAAGCGGCTTTTTCATTGATTGATAGCATCTTATTTGTGATGAATAATAAACTATTGGTGGGAGGCATTTCCTGTGATTTACAGAAAGCATTTGTTTGTGTTAATCACAGAACATTGGAAAAATTAATATTCTATGGAATAGATGAGAAATTTAAATCACTCATTGAATCTTGCTTGTCAGGTAGATATCGAAGAGTTGTAATAGGGAACAGAATTGATTGTAGCAACTCTTCTGATTGGGAATTAATCAGATGCGGTGTTCCTCAAGGCTTGATCCTTGGCCCACTGCTTTTTCTGTTTTATATAAATGACTTACCAAAAATAATTAATAAAAATAATAACATGGTATTATTTGCAGATAACACCAGTATTATAGTAACTGGCACGAACAAATTAGACTTTGGTATGAACTGTAATAAAACTTTTAAAGATATTAATTCATGGTTTAATGCTGATTTGCTCACTTTGAATTTTAATAAATCTCAATATGTTGAATTTCATTCCATGAATCATTATAATATTACCACACAAATTACTTATGATCTGACTAATTTAACCAATGTGATGGATACAAAATTTTTAGACTTAATCATTGATGATACTCTCACATGGAAACAGCATATTGATTAAGTTATCAATAAAATTTCCAGTGCATGTTATGCATTGGGAAATATAAAATACTACTTTATCCCTCCAGATACATTAATTTATTTTTCCCACATTCATTCTATCTTGAGCTATGGTATAATTTTTGGGGGAGGCTGTTCTTGCGCTAACAATGTTTTTATACTGCAAAAGAGGGCTATTAGAATTATTACGAATTCTGGTCCAAGTGAGTCTTGTAGGGATTTATTCAAGAACCTGGAGATAATGACGTTTTATTCTCAGTTCATGTATTCATTAATTTTATTTACAATTAATAATAAACATCTTTTAAATTCTGTTAATGAGATTCACAAATATAAAACTAGATCCCTAAATAAACTTTACTTACCTACTGTCAACCTATCAAAATACAGTAAAGGTGCATATGTAGCAGGCATTAAAGCCTTTAATCATCGACCTCAAGCAATAAAAATGTTGGCTTCTGATCTGTTAATCTTTAAAGCAACACCTGAAGAGATTTTGATTTTGTCACTCTTTTTACTCTATGAAATTATTTGTAATATATTTTCAATTTATATATGCAGTTGTCTTATCTAAAATTATTATGGCTCATATTTTATTTAACCTTACTAATGTGATCTACAAATTTAGAATCAAATTTTAATAACCCAGATTTGTTTGTTATTAATTGATAATCATAACAAAGATGGCTGTTGATGGTACAATTTTAAACATGTATTGAAGAGGCTGTTACACCTCTCTAACTTATATGAACATTTAACATAGAACTGGTTATAAATGTGTGATGCTGGAGGACACCTAATTGGTAATTTAAGTGATTATATGAAATTGTGACTGTGTTCTTATAGTAAGTTATTTAACTCATGTTTTAATTGAATTTTATTTATTATTATTATATGCAATTTTATAATTTAATAAGCTTGCCTATCTGCAACCTGCAAAATTGATGTCAACCTATTGTTGCAAATAATGGACTCATACAATTTTGTATATGTATTTTAAAGATTATTTTGATATGTGTTTTAAGGACCATTTCCACATCCTGGTTATATACTGTACGGATATATGGAAAATAAATAAAATGAATGAATGAATGAATGGTTTGAGGATATTTTGATCATGAATATTTTGTGTCATTAGCTTGTATGCAGAACTATGTAGAATATATCATACCATTCAACTCATTGATCTCCATTTTTGAAAGCTGAAGTTAATAATGTATCCAGTTATCCTTTAATTTACAGACAGTGTTCATGGACATACACATTACAGAATGTTTCAGTGGGCCTGAGACAAAAGGATATACACTGGTAGGTTGTGTTGCTAACAGCTCACCAGAAGTTACAGTCGGAATAGCCCTTGTATATATTAAATATACCTGAGACAATGGACAGTATTGAACATGATAATCACATAATGAATCAGCATTTGTCACAAACTTCTAGAGAGCCACAGAGCTTTTTGTACAAATGGTGAAGGAGGGTGAGACATGAAAACAAATTAGATTTTTGTTGCTACAAGTTTTGAAGTATCACCACCAAGCATTTAAATTTGTTTGCTAATTACAAATGAATGTTTACAGTAATCCTTACCCACTGTCCATGTATACTGATATTTATACTTTCTCAGTTCTTCAAGTGAACTTCACTTATTGTTCCCTACTTGCATTACAAATATGCAGACCACCACAAATCAAAGAAATATCCTTGGCACTGAACACACTGTGTGGCATGATTTTTTTTATTTAAGTTTTAGTTTTATTATTTGTTGAAACCTTTTTGTACTGCTAGTGGGGCGGGACTAAGTCCCTTGTACTGCGGCCACTTCTGGCATATTGTACCAGTCCCAGATGATAGGTGAGGGTGATTGTCGAGCAATTGGTGGAATGAAGATTGGCAGGGGAAACCGAAGTACTCGGAGAAAACCTGCCCTAGCGTCACTTTGTCCACCACAAATACCACTTGACCAGACCCGGGATCGAACCCGGGACGCCGCGGTGGGAAGCCAGCATCTAACCACTTGAGCTATGGCATGGCCAAAAATCCAGTGACCTCATCGGGACTTGAACCCGCGACCTCCCGACTTGTAGCATAGTGCCTCAACCAACTATGCTACCGCATGCCCCCTGTTAAAACCTTACACAGGAATGAAATACAATGGGTAATCCATAATATGTTTAGCAGTCTCTTAGTATCTCTCTACATATATAATATTCCAGTTAGATTTATTCAGTCCTGTCTTATTTACAGGTAAAATGGATGATGTACTGGATAGTATTTGCACTTTTCACATGTGCAGAAACTTTTACGGACATGTTCCTCAGCTTCTGGTAAGTTCTTATTTGACTGTCTAAAAGATGACTTTAGCTCTACTTGTGAATTTCTCCCTGTGCATTTAAATGTCTGACTTCAGTAACTATTTTTATATCATCTGCAGTAAGGCACTCTGAACCAGGAAATTTTACCCTTAGTTTCTTTTGGAGTTCAGCCAAGTTTCTTCTCAATACAGCATTCCTTCTCTTCAGTGTAACTCTCTCACTGAGCACTCCACAAAGAAGGAGCTAAATTACAAAGGTTATAGAATAAAATAATCTGTTGATGTTTCACTGTCTGTTGTTACTAAAGGTTTGAGTCAGGTCACTTTCAGTAGAATATGAAATGTTTGTTTTTGCATGAAAACTGAATGAATTCTGGTCAGTGTTAATATCATGAATGGATCATTTCAAGAATGTGCACAGATATTACATTTAATTTTAAGGTCTTTCATTCTGGTCCGTCACACTAACCAATTAACAATCAAGTTCCTTCCGTCAAATGTGACACTTTTTTAAGTTTTCCACCTCGTCAGCACAATCATGGAAATCCTCGAAACAGCTAAGAAGGGCAATCTAATGAATGTAAAGGAAGATTTCCAAATATATTATCATAACAAACACAAAAAATTAATAGAAGAACAAAGACAGATAAAAGAAACCAACAATCAAAAAAACCTCTTCGAACTCATAATACAGGATTCGTACACCCCCACACTGACGTCACAAACACAGGATACATAAACCACACGACACAGCACTCCTTAAGCACACAAGCATCACAACACACAGACAAGCAACATCAACTACCGACAGGTAAGGTTAGTGAACCTTAAAAGTATATACACATAAAAACTTATATAATACAATCTAAATAAAACCACAACTTTTTATTTACAGACAACACACGTCAACAACATCACGAAGCAAAAAGATTGGGCCAAGCGGGAAAGAATTCTAGGGATTTTAAGAATTCTTACTTCAAATAACGAAACATAATTTTACAGAATTAACGACGAATCAAATAAGGAAGCTACTGTGGTGTGTGAAAAACTTTTAGTGAACCGACATTCTGGGTAATTTTAACTATTTGTAATTATTTTAATTAACTGGAACGTGGCTATCTTGGACAAAGTGAAGTTTTGTGTGTTGGTGATTTCTTTTTCTACTATAAATGCCTCTGATGATGGCTCCGTGGTGAGCCGAAACATGTAAGGCAGGTGCTGACGAGGTGGAAAACTTAAAAAAGTGTCACATTTGACGGAAGGAACTTGATTGTTAATTACATTTAATGATCACATACAAAGTGTTGTGAATTGTAATTGTGTCTCTGGAGAGACAGATTGGCCAGTCTCATTAGATTATTCAGAGATGGTATGAAAGACATAAAATGAAGATAGTTGTGAATGCCCTAAGCAGTTAAGGAATTAATATGCTGTTGAGAATAGGCCATCATAATGAAAAAGTATGTTGTTCTAAAACTTCAGGTTATAATTGCAAAAAAGTATGAAAAAAGTTTGAGACTGCTTTACTGCATTCATTTTTTTGTGAACCTATGGACTTTCTTGGGGGGAACATGGTAGCGTAGTTGGTTGAGGCACTGTGCTACAAGTCGGAAGGTCATGGGATCAAATCCCAATAAGGTCATTGAACTTTTTTACTTTACCTAACCCTTCCAGCCGCACTCTGGCCCTGGAGTCGACTCAGTCTCTAACAGAAATGAGTACCAGGAATATTCTTTGAATGTTCTTGGGGGTAAAGGGTGGCTGGCACGTAGGGCTGAGAACCTTACCGCCATTTATGAGCCGATTGTTTAGAAAATGTGGGAACCTCAACATCTCACAACCCTATGGACCTCCAAGGTCTGTTACAGGAATACCTATACTTTTTTATGGACTTTCTTGATTCATCCCTCAAATAAATACTGTGAAATATCATGGTAAGAACTTAATATAACCTTTGTGATAATGTTCATACTCACAACACAGCCGAACATTACAGTTTTTAATATAACAGAGATTATCATTATCTTGTTAGGTAAAATGTAAAGGAATTTATTGCCTCTGCTTCTGCATGATCAGTGCACTGTGTGTGTCACATTAATATGTAAAAATTTATGATGTCATGGATAAACTGTTACCAGTATTCTGCATTGCAACTGATGGGAATTGTATAGGGGGTCATTTTACTAGTTTTGCCCAAATTGATTCATTGTTAAAAATGAGTTTCAGAAGGGGACAGGAGATTTGTGATTGGTGCTGTTTAAATTGACGTAACATTTACCTAGTGCTTCTGAATTTTCATTTTGATTTTGTGTTATAACCTACTCTTTCAGAAATTAAATTGGCTGCTCCAATATTTTGTTACAGGTTTCCATTTTATTATGAGATCAAGATAATCCTGGTGCTTTGGCTTCTTTCCCCAGCTACCAAGGGCTCCAGCATCTTGTACAGGAAGTTTGTTCATCCCATGCTCAGTCGTCGTGAACAGGTGAACTTGCATTTTATACTTGAAGTGACGTAGAGAGCCATTTAGGAAGTAATTAGTAATGGACTCTTGAATATATCTGTATCACCATGGCAGGTATAGAAGCTCATTTACAAAATACCAATCCCTATGCCTGTACATTTTAAGGCACACAATGACACATGGGAGTGCTAGGATTGCAAGTTTTGATTGAAGGCATGACTATTTTGTTCTGTTTTTCATCATCAGGATTATCCTATTCATCACCACAATCCTCCCAAGGTTTTAGGTGTAGTGTGGGCTAGACGTCCCTTGCAGGTAAAATACTTGTGTGTTAAGAATGGCGGGAAGTTATTCCTAGATTTGAGTCAGTCCAGAGCAGGAATTAGATGAATAATTTTATAAGCTACTGGTCCAGCAGTGCAGATTTCCACTACTTTAAAATTGCCAAGTATAACCTCATACCATCACTGTGATTGTAAATTTGAATGTGTCCAAATGCAGAATAACTCATATTACATTTTTAGGTACGGTGTATCAAATTTCATATGTCTAGCTACAGTACTTCATTCATTGTCATTATCAGATAGAATGGTAATTATACATTTAGTGTAGCCATCATGATGTTTGTATTCTACAAAAATATGTATTTTAATGGAAGTTTCATATTTTGTAAAGATTTGTTGTCACACATTTCAGGGCCCTACATTAAGTGGTGCTAGTGCCCCATCTTCCTTAGAATGTACAAGAGCAAATGTTGGCATCAAGTGGGTTGTTCAGATCTCAGTCCGAAGACCGACTAACTTGGCTGAGGTTTTTCATGGTTTTCCTCGGTCTGACCAAACAAACGCCATTATGGTACCTGTACCTCAGATTAGGTTAAGAGTGCTTCCTCATTCATCATTTCAAATTAATTATTCACTAATCATCCTACCATTGAATGTTATGTGGTCTGAGCTACTGAGAACATCATTAAATGAACCAAAAATAAATAAATAGAACATGGCACAGAGAGTTGTATGATTCGCAATGATGTGATGTATTCGTACATTCATACATATGAGTTTTCAACAAAATCTGTCATTTGGTCTGTAGGTGAGGAGTGGGGAGCACAGATGCATACAGAATGTGTCGAAGATAAAATAGAAAAGAAGGGTAATATAAATCATAATTGAACAGTGTAAACAGAAATTTATCTGTATTGTCAAATAAGAATAATTATATGCATTGCATAGTGACATAGCTGATCTTTTGCTAGTACAGGTCATTTGTGACATGCTTTTACTTGTCCTGTTGGCAGGAAATTGATGAGTATATAGCAAAAGCAAAGGAGCAGGGTTACCATACAGTGCTGCACCTGGGTACAAAGGGAGTTAACTATGCCACCACAGTACTTATGCAGACTGCCATTAAGGTAAGTAATTGAATTGCAGTGTTTCATTACATCACTTTAAGTGTTCTCATGTCATATTTAGGCTTTTTGTAAAGTCATTTTGGTTGTACTTACCAGTAAAAATGTAACACCTTCAAATGATTTGTCCATTAACATATTGCTTCATATGTAGTACTTTTGGTTTAGCTTCTGAATGTCAAGTGTTAATGTGCCAGTGTCAGAAGCTCAAGTGGTAATTAGTATCATTCTTCAGTAAAAGGCAGGTCAGTGTTAACAGTGGTAATTTGTTTTCCTTCAGACCAAAGTTTCCCAAACCTGTTCCTTTGTGAGACCCTTCAAAAATCCTTTTCCTAAAATGTTTTCCGGCAGAATTTCTCCTTCATATGTCTGCCTCACATTTTAGACGCTCCCTTTAACTGTTCCATCCCCATGCAGCCTAACTTTTATATTGTGTTTCACAAATACTTTCCCTTCTAGAATATAAGGAGAGTAAAATCATGCAAATGGGGAGGGAGGGATGGTGCAGGTCTTTCCTAAACAGATCAGTGGAACAGTATCTCCATATATTACTTTAATATCCAATTTCAAGTGATATAGACTGCCTCTGTGGTCAAGCGGTCAGAGTTCCTGGCTACAGATCAAGAGGTCCCGGGTTCGATTTTGGCGCAACAGATTTTCTGTGAAGTAGTGGGTCTGGAATGGGGTCCACTCAGCCTCATGAGGATAATTAAGGATCTATTTCAAGGAAATAGCTGCTCTGGTCTAGATTAAATGGCCCCCGGGAATCCGTTGCACTGACCATGCGACACCCTCTATCCGCAAAAGTTGGTACTAACTTTGCCAACAAGCGGTGGTCCCTTGGTCAGTATAGTTTGTTTGCGGACTAAAGGTTACGGAGTTTCAAGTGATATTAGTACACAAAAAGTCCACAATTTTGCATGTTTTGTTCAACAGTCTGTCTCAAACATTTTCTCAACTCCAGAGGATTTGCAGACCACCATTTGGGAACCAGTGCTTTGCTCAATCTTTGAATTTACCTCAGTTCATTTCCTTTCTTAATCCTATGAAATTTAATTTGTAAATTGCTGCACATTCATATTATTTATACATTATATCTTGTGTTTATTAGAATGAAAGTTCAGTTTGCATATAGAATTATGGAGAATACATACTCGTAAAATTTACCTGTTTTCAAACCCAAACATAATTCCAGGGATCTCTTTGTCTTTTTCCAAGAAAGTTAGTGATAGCCCCCACATCAGTGGTTTTCTGTACCTCCTGAGACGGTTAAACAAATGTTCAGCCCCTCAAGGACGACTTTGAAAATGCAAAACTTAATTGTTTAATGTTCTTATAATCTATCCAAATCACAACTCATGTTTGTAGATATCGGCATGACTGTATCACCAGCAGATTTTTACCAAAATATAGCAAAACCATGTAATTATATTAAATATTTATACTGGTTAAAAATATCTCCACTAGATGTCAAATAATGTAGTAAATGTCATAGAAGGCTGTGGTGGAGCAAAGAAAGTAGTTATAACTTGATGCCAAGATCAGAGAACATACCTTTCGTGCATATATGTGCTCTTGGTGATAATAGACCAGTTTCACTTCACATATACTGTATGTGCTTGCAGACATGGATGAGATTGTTCAATTGTTCAATTTATTTACGTTCCATAAATCCAGATACAGGTAGACTCCATATGATATGGAACAAGTCAAATACAATATAAATACAATGACATCTGTACAATAACAGTCTAGTTGAAAAAATAATAAGATTGCAAATTACATAAATATAAGTTAATTGTACTTATGCATCTACTTATGCATCAGAACTTGAGCCTGTTAACAGAAACAGTGTCAATAATAAATGAATGGTGATCACCTGTATGTCTGTCATATGTACAAGATTATCTTCAGTCAGTTCACAGTAGAAGTAACATTCACTGATAAAAAGTTTGCAATGGGAATGACGACTTAATGGTAGTTGAGAAATGCTGCCCTACATTAATTTGAGACTGCATCATACATTCTGTTCTTTGTTGCTGAGATACTTGGAATTAGTACAGCTGTTATTACTTGTGTGTACTGTAATTTATTTATGAGTAATTATGGAGCACGGAGGAGCAACTCATTTTTAGGTGTGTTCGTGTTCCTGCTGAGCATCTATTAAAATTATTATCTCTGTTCATTTGCACACATGAAACAACTTGAGAACTGGTGAATGGATTTTTATGAAATTAGATATTACAAGTATTTACATGATGTCATAGGGGACTGGGTTCAATTCTTGCAGCTGCTTTGAAAGCACAGGATCTGCTTGTTTTCGGGTGAACAAAACTTATGAGATAAAGTTCATGGGTAGGTCAGTAGCAGAGAAAATCACTTTTATGATGAATCTATTGAGATATTCTTGCAGTCTGGAGTATTAAGTCAAGAACAGTAAAATGTCCCTTTTTCTAAACTATAATTTTCTTTCGGTTTAGAAATTTTTGTCGTGAAGATATATTAAATATACCATTGAGTTAAGTCCTAATAGTTTCATTAGATGAGTCATGCTGTTCATTGGTGATATCTATTGAATGAGGGAAATGGTACTCACTTACTTACTTACTTACTTACTTACGGAGCTGAGCCCTTCTTGAGGAGAAGCCAAATCTGCAGCTACTCAAGAATTTCCCAGCATTTTATGGAACCAAAAGGTTCATTACTGTGTTCACAAGAGACCTCCACTGGTCCCTATCCTGAGCCTGATCAATCCAATCCATATCATCCCATCCTGTCTCTCTAAGATCCATTTTAATATTGTCCACCCACCTACACCTTGGTCTTCCCAGTGGTCTCTTTCCTTCTGGCTTTCCCACCAATATCCTATATGCATTCATCATCTCCCTCATTCATGCTACATGCCCTGTCCTCCTCGTCCTCCTTGACTTGATCATTCTAATTATAATTGGAGAAGAGTACAAGTTATGAAGCTCCTCATTATGGAGTTTTCTCCAACCTCCTGTCACTTCATCTCTCTTCAGTCCAAATATTTTCCTCAACACCCTGTTCTCAAACACCCTCAGTCTATATTCCTCCCTTAATGTCAGAGACCAAGTTTCACACCCATACAGAAACACAGACAAAATTACAGTTTTGTATATTCTAATTTTTATGTTTTTGGACAGCAGACGAGAAGACGAAAGGTTCTGGACTGAATGGTAGCAAGCATTACCCGAGTTCAATCTCCTCTTAATTTCCTCCTGAAACAGGTTTCGATCTGTTATCGTTGTTCCAAAATATCTCAACTGTGCCACATTTTCAAAACATCTGTTTCCTATCGATGAGGGAAATGGTAAACATTAAAAATTGAGCCTGAAGATTATGGAAAGTATCCTCTTAGTTTGTTAATATAATTTCATTCACGTTACTGAATTTTCACCATACAGGGATGATCACCGTTGGTCTTGTATAAAAGGGAGCATTAAAAGTATTAAAGGACTGTGTTAGTATTGTTATCTGAACAGCCAGTACATTTCTAGTTATATTGTCAAGTTACTTACAATATGTTCATGTTATGTTGAGTACCTTTTGTGTAAAAAAAGAGTTAAGTATGTTTGTGGGAATATATTACATGGAGGGGCCATTTTCTTCTATAATTCTGCTGCTGCTGCTTTACAGACAACAGGGTGTTTTGTTGTGTATAACTGGTATCAAATTTGCCTTTCAAGAGGTAGTGATATTTTGATATGATACATGCTGATAATTAGAATGTTCATGTGTTTGCTTGTAGTGATGCATCATGAGATATAGCAGGTTTTCTTAGTGTAGTATATTTTCCCCGTGTTCAGAGGTCTAAATTGAATTATTAGTTGTGGGTTACCTGTGTAGGGTTTTGTGTAACCCTTTTATATAGAGAGGATATAAAAATAGTTAAAGACGATTTTCCTTCCCATTTCCTCTCAGATTGCAGAAGTGTATTGAGATGCGTGTTATAACTAGAACTTCTGTACTTAATGATGGAATTTGGAATGATTAAGATGACTTTAAAATCTCTATACCCTGTATACCGTATGGTCAAAGTTCTGATAATTTGGCTTTATTGTCCCACTGCTTTCAAATTTTTTCTCTTTCAAACCAGAGTTCATTGTTGGTTTACAAGGTAAGCATTGATGCTTCTTTTAAGTTATTTTTGATTCTTTATTTTAAAAGTCTGTTATGTACTTCATTTGGAAATCATTCATTGGTAGATGCTTGTTAATGGAAATGCTACTCTCACAGTATGCAGGCTTATTATATACTCCACATACATGGGAGTTTCTTTGGAGCATAACTTTAAATATTCTGAATTATTTTGAAAAGGAGAAGTTGAAATTCTGCTTGTCATAGTTTGTAGTGATGTGCAAAATTGTTATGCATGTGTTGACTTCTTTCCTTCTTCTTTTAAATGAATATGTTTGGGATGCAAGGTTCACTGTAATATTCACTTCTTTGTTTTATCATGTTTAAAAGGTGAAGAGAAGTGGTTTGTCTTTTTTGGATAGTTTTGTTAATGAGATAAAAGTAACATTTCATCCAAGCAAATACATATATGATGTGTGGAACTGTAGATATTCATTGACTTTTTAAGCAGCTTGAAGGTTCCAAAATGTTGTGTTCTCTAGTTTTGTAGAATACTGGATGATTGATGATGTCCAAAAACCCAGTAATTCCAAGCTTTAAGGTTGTTTCAAATTCGTGTATTACCTTCACTCTTACAAGATGAGTAGAACTTAAATGTAAATTCTGTTACCCTTTGCACCATATTATTACCCCACCCCATTATCGCTGCCACTACCTTGGATAGGTTTCAGCTTATATAAATGCTTCTGTCTATATTTACAAGTTTTGAGTAATAAGTTATCAGAACAAGCTCAACTCAGACCTCAGCGAGATAAGACAAGTATGGCTATGTTCTTTACCACTGAAAGTAAACAGTATCCAGTTTCTGGTTTATTGCTTCTGTTGAATTTGATAAAAGGTTA